CAGGATGTCCGCCCTGCTCCCTCAGTGACTGTAGCAGAAAGATGTTGACCCCAAAAGTAGCTGCCACTCATCATGGAGCAACCATGATGGATGGAACTTGGGTTATAAACCCATCTTTCAACTGAGCCATGGTCAGGTAGAGTCCTCTCGGTCAAGTGCCCGTCCTTGGAGGCATGGGGAGCTGGGGAGACAAGGGATCAGGACTGGCACCAGTTCAGGCTATCGGAATGTAACAGAATTGCATGGCTGGTTGGGAAGCGCAGTTAGTTCCACATAGCGATGCTGGCAGACCAGAGCTAGGGGCATTCCATCTAATGGGGAGAATCCAGGTGCTGAAGCTCTGTGCTGCTTTAACAGGCTGTGATGAGCTGTGGTTATTACCCCTAGAAAGATACCCATGGCACACTGTGTAAGTGAAAAAAGAATTTCATAAAAGAATAGGTACAGTGAGATCCAATTTTGGCTTGAGGATTAAAAAGGCTCCATGAGTCTAGAAAAAAAGGAGCCTAATAGTAGTTATTTCTAGGTGGTAAAATTGATGGGTGACATTCCTTCTATCATTCTCTATTGTCTGAGACAAGTCATACACTGAGAATATATTTCTATTTAAAGGAAAGACAAACTTGTCTATTGAAGTTTTGACAGGACTTGATGAGGTCATAACTAGGTAGGTGAAGAGGAGAGAAGGAGGTGACGGGTTTTCAGAAGCTGACATCCCCTGGACTTGGTGACTGGCTGTGGGGCTGCAGAGGGAGGCCAGCTGGCTCTGCAGTTTCCGCCCTTGGTGACCAGGTGGCATGGGGGTCCCCAAAGCTGCAGGCCAGCTGCAGTTAGAGGCTGGCAGGCATCTGTTAGAATGGATTTTGTGCTTTGTAGAGATGTTTAGAACTGACTGTTTGAAAAATCAGACCTGGGAGAATTTATGCCATTGAAAGAAGGCTCAGTTTGACTTAATAAAAATTGTGAATTGCATTTCCAAAGAGGCCATTATGACTGCCTGGTGAATATGGTGTATCTATCCCTCTTTTATTAAGTAGTTGGTAAGCTTCATGAGGCCAGATACTCATCTTTATGTTGTAATTCCTCAATACCTAGCACATAAAATTGGTTCGCAGAAAAGAGTCCTCTAAAATGTGTAGCAAGTCAGGAAGATCCCCTGGAGAAGGGAATGGCAACCCACTCCAGTATTCTTGCCTGGAGAATCCCATGGACAGAGGAACCTTGTGGGCTACAGTCACGGGGTCACAAAGAGTTGGACATGACTGAGTGACTGACACTTTCACTTTTCAAACCAACAGTAATTCTTTAAAAAAATCATTGCAGCAGTCAGCTCAGAAACAATGTCCCTTCCAGTTGCTGCATATAGGAAAAATCAGCTTGGTTCCATACACATATAACATAAGTTGCTCAAGAAACTGAGGAAAGACTCCATATTGTTGTTGTTCAGTTGCTAAATCATGTCTGACTCTTTGTAACCCCATGGACTGCAGCACATCAGGCTTCCCTGTCCTTTGCTTTCTCCCAGAATTTGCTCAAGTTCATGTCCATTGAGTCAGTGATGCCATCCTATCATCTCATCCTCTGTCACTCCCTTCTCCTCTTGCCCTCAATCTTTCCCAGCATCAGGGTCTTTTCTAGGAAGTCAGCTCTTTGCATCAGGTAGCCAAAGTATTGGAGTTTCAGCTTCAGCATCAGTCCTTCCAATGAATATTCAGGACTGATTTCCTTTAGGATGGACTGGTTTGATCTTGCAGTCCAAGGGACTCTCAAGAGTCTTCTCCAGCACCACAATTAGAAAGCATCAATTATGAAGACTCCATATATATATTTATACTTTATTGTTCTTTCATGTATATCCTAGTCTGCCTTATAAGATTATTTTCCTGTAAAGCATGTTTACCATTATGGTTCACAGAGTCCAGAAAATAAGATACTTGGCATCTGAAGCTGTGTATTAAAATGCTTTAAGGAGGTTGGATTCTGGGAACAGCTGGTCTGACTCTGAATCCCAACGTTGCCATTTCCTGGCTTGTCAACTTGGATAGTTTAAGTGACTCTCTCTCTGTTTTCTCATCTGTACAAACATGTTATAAGGTTTTTGTGAAGATATAATGAAATGATCACTATAAAGCGCTCAGATTGTCAGCTATTTTTTTTTAATCTCATTTGTTTACCTCTTGGGATGGAGTGATTTCCAGAAGTACAGGATTTCCTGTGTCTCATTTATGATGGGATTTCTTTGATTTACCTTGAAATGTAAATACCCTCCCTTTGAAGCCCTCCCAACACAGCTGAAGTTTGTGTTCCCTTCTGAAGGCAAAGCAAAAAACAAAGCTTGGCCTGAGGGTGGATCTCCACAGAAAGATCTTTGCAGATCCACCAGCCTGCACTTGCGGTCTGTGGTTTACTATACTCAGCTTCAGGAAGGAGGCTTGTGTCAGATGGGGGCTCTTGAAGGGCTTCTCACCAGGCAGACACCCAGCTCCTTGGAGGCCAGGCATACCTGCTCTGTGGTTACTTCCAGTTCCCCCGCCGGGCAGATCTCAGCTGAGCATCTACTCATGTTGCAGACTGTCGGTGTCCCGCGACAGGTTCAGTGTGGCCTGGAAAGAGACGTGGCCGATCTGCCCGGTGCTCATAAAATGTGGCAGTGTGTTTGTAAGTGCTACCGTATTTCTCCTTAAGTCTCACTTGAGCTGCTTAAATGGCTTCTGCAGGTTGTCAGTCCCCAAGTTTATACCTGGGGACAAGAAAAGAGTTGAAGTAAGGTGTGTGGATGAAAACTTAAGCGGAGAGCTTGTATGTGTAATTCTTTCTTCATACAGTGTCCAAGTTTAATACCAAATGACCAGTCATAAAATGGTAAAAGCTCACCTTTCCCTACAAGTTTTTTTGAGTAGATTGTTTACTTCCCCTCCCTCTTATTGTTCAAGCTGTGGGGAATCTTTGACGCAGAAATGTAAACAGGCATATTTTTTAATATAAACAGACCTATTTTTTTTTCTTCTTGGGTCTTGATGATCATTTTCTTTTTGAAAGCACCTTAGTACAGGATCTATTTTTCTAACCTGTTAAGTGTTTTAGATGCTAGATTATCTCATATTTTAAAACGGGCCCACCGAGAAACTAGAGAACAGAACTGCAGAAACAAATATCTAAAGCATGGAGCTTTAGTCACCACACAAATTTCCTGAAGACAAAACCACAGTTTCAACGTTTAAAGCATCAGATTCTATTTCAGAATTTCTACCATGGATCAAAAGTTTTAGAAAGAGATTTTTTTTAAACTGTCTTATCAGCATTTCAAATGCACACAGGCTCTCTGCCCCTCCCCTAAACCCCGTCAGACCCCCTCCTCGCCAGCTCTTCCAAAAGGGGGAGAAGTAAAAAAGCGACCATTGCCTCTTGTTGGCAGTAGAATTTATTCAGTAATTTACTTTCCAGCCAACTGCAGCCATTGCCATCGCCTCTGGGCACTTGTTCAAAAACGCAGAAATGAAATAACAGATTGGCCAGACCGCACACAAGTCCCCAGTCACAACCCTATTATCTCCTCATTCTGTCGCCCCCATTAAGCTGCAGCCTGAGAGACAGGATGGCGATCACAAGTATTTATGCAGCTCGTTCGCGTCCCCGGCTCAGGGCTCTCCGCCCAGCTCCCTCGTTCATCTTCTTGCGGGTGCCTGAGGGGGACCCGGGCCTTCAGGCCCCTGAAGCATCTTGAAGGGCTTCTGTGCCCTCTTCCTGCCGGGGAGACTCCTGAGAAAACCGAAACAAGACGCGGGAACCAACTTCCTCCTCCGGTTGTGGGTTGTCAGCCACCCACCTGTGAATGAATAGGGTGGGAGCGTCGCTGTGTAGATTTTATTAATATTCAGTCTGTCTCCATTTAAGTTATTTTTCGTTCTGTTCAGGTCAAAGCCAAGCCAAGCAGTTGCTTTTCCTGTGGTGGGGCCTCTGTAGAGTTGTCATCTTCTGCAGAGTTCTCTGGCCAGATGTTTGGAGAGGAGAGATGGGCTCTCTGTTTCCTCGAGAGAGACTCTTTTCTGATGGTTGCCTTCTGGTGAAATTCCTTTTTAAAATTATGGACACGAGAGATAAATGTTTGCGGAGGGTGTGGGCTTGCTTTCTCCCTTGGTCAGGTGTTAAAACAGAAAAGTTTTAGGGACTTCTCTAGCAGTCCAGTGGTTAAGACTCTGCACTCCCAATGCAGGGGTTTGATACCTGGTTGGGGAACTATGATTATCCCACATGCGGCATGGCCCAAAAAAGAAAAGAATGAATAAATGAAAAAAAAAAAGAAGTTTTAGAACTCAAATGATGAATGATCCAGAGGAACATGCCTTCTCTCTTCCAGAGTTGTCCATCTTGGAGATTAGACATGGTTTCTTAGGTTGGTTGACTTTTCAGAAGTGGTTCACATCCCAGTGAGCTTCACCTTTTACTCTGTCTTCGTTCCATCCATCCATGCAGAATTACATCTTTCATTAGTGAATGATTCTTAGAGGCAGTGCAGAGTGGGGGTGATGTTGCCTGGTTCACTGGCCGGCGAGCACAGCTGGAGCCGGAGGAGAGCGTGCGGGGTCTGCTGACCCTGTTGGGGATCGTGGACTCAGCCCTGCTCCCTTCAGATTTCCAGCCGCTAGTTGGTGTAACCTGGATGAGGGCATTTCTGTCGGGAGCCAGTGTCTTTGTGCTGAGGAAACAGGATGGAGAGGAGGGCGCAGCTGAATGTTTTTAAACAGATGGACTTTCCGCTGAGAAAAGCAGGGTTGGGCTTGGGTTAATCCTTCCTGGAGAGAATTAGTTCTCTGTGAAGGTGGAGTTGGGGCTGGGTGGGAGCAGACCACCCCCCTGAACCCTCTCCCAGGTAAAGAAAGAACGAGGTGACATGAAAACATTTAACTATGCTCGCGACAGCTTGAGTGAAATTGGTGATGGTTGGTGTTTGTTCCTGCTGATTGAATTTTAACTGCCGTGTCCCGTCTTCTCCACCCCAGCTCACACTCCAGACAACAGCTTCCTGGGCTTTGTGGTCGAGCAGCACTTGAACTCCAGCGACATCCACCACATCAACGAAATCAAGAGGCAGAACCAGTCACTCGTGTACGGCAAAGTGGACAGCTTCTGGAAAGTGAGTCGGCCTGTGTGCATGCCTCTCGGTCGCAAAGAAACTTGCCGTGTAATTTAATTCAGCTTTGATCCAGGGAGTAATCAAGCCAAGTGCCCACAGCTTAACAGGGTCTGCTTAGAAATAAACAAGAACACGTGGGGATTTGGGCCGATGGGTATTTGGGTGTCTGAGCAAAGCTATACCTGCTCATCTGTACAGTGGCTGCCCCGCAGGGTCCCTCATCCTTTGCATGTTGAAAGTGACATGTGTCGGCTCCTCTCCCATCCTGGGCTTGCCCCCAGAAGCCGGGGCCCCTCAGAGGCTGCATGTGTTTCTGGAGCAAGGCATTGCGCAGGGAGACCCTTTGCCAAGTGATTCATTTCCTGGGCCTCTGTGAAATGGTTCGTAAGGGGAGGCAGCTCCCTTTGCCTGGGGGAGGCGTTGGCCTTCACATCCTCTTGGCTTTGGTCACTAGTCTGGTCAGTACTCAACTAACCAGGGAAGGGAGATGCCTGCCGGGGCTGACGGCAGACAGTTTACTTGAGGACATCTTGGTTGAAGCAGCATTCTTGGCCACAGGCTGAGCCAGGTTTTCCAAGAACATTGGATTGTTGGGCCCTGGAGGGCCCCTTGGTTCTCCTGGGTGATTTCCAGGCCTCATCTGAAAAAGATACAATAAAAAAGGAACTGGATTGGGGGTGTGACCTGTCCACATGGCATGCAAATCCTCTTATAAGGAAAGTCTGCCTTAGCATGCGATGTTGCGAGTTTTTTGGAAGATATGTTTGTACAAGACAGAACAGACTCCAGAACTTGGAAAATATGCGTCTTCCTAAACATAAAAGTTACTCGCTTTCTGGAATGATCAGGGACTGTGGTGGTCTGGTCCCATGTCTCCCTTACTCAGGAAGTTGGAAGTCTGATCGCTGGGGGAGCACCCGTGATGTACACACAGAAAATTCCCTTGCTCTCAGTTATCTGACCTCGTGTTCAGAAAAGGGAAAGCCCTACCATCGCCTCTTCAGTTCTAAGTGCTAACTATGTGGAAGGGACAACACGTCAGCCTATTTCCAGGGAAGCTAATTTATTTCCAGATAACTGCCTTTGCTGTAAACAGCTAGAATTCTGTTTTGGTTTAGTGTAGTGGTTCTCCAGTGGGGACATCGGGCAAGGTCTAGGGACAATTTTGGTTGTCATGACAGAGGGTAGGGACCCCTGGCATCTACTGAGTAGAGGTGAGGGATGCTGCTGAACCCCCCAACAGTGCACAGGACAGCCCCACAGCAAAGAATTACCTGGCATAGAATGTCATTAGTGCCAAGGCTGAGAAACTAGGGCTGGTTAACAAGATTTATTTCCTAATGTATTATTCCATGTGTTCTCCCCCAAGTAAAATAAAATCAGCTGAGATTATAAATGGTTACTTAAGATGTTCCCCTGCATGTATACACCTTCGTTCCCTTTGTGTCAAAATCCGCTCCTTGTTAGGGGAGCATTTTTCAACTGCCATTCTGGTGAACTTGGGTTTAAAAGTGCACGTTGGATATTGTCATTCTCTGCTTCATTGTAAAATACGTGGATCGTAGTGTTGGTTTTAAGACTTTCAGAGCTGGGTTTAGTAAGACTTGAGCTCTTAAAAAAAAAAATTGTAACTCCCTTCTCCCTCCTGTACATGCTCAAAAAAAAGGTAGTTTGTATGTCCACGTGGACTTGAAACTACATTGGTTTTGGACCCAAGTGCAGCTTCCTCCTAGGGGCTTCTGGCCGCTTTTTCAGCTTCAAAAGGGTCTTCCTAGCTGACTCAGTGGTAAAAAAAAAAAAAACAATAGACCTGCCGTTGCAGGAGACGCAAGAGACATGGGTTCAGCGCGGGGTGGGAAGATCCCCTGGAGAAAGGCATGGCAGCCCACTCCAATATTCTTGCCCAGAGAGTCCCATGGACAGAGGAGCCTGGCGAGCTACAACCCAGGGGGTCACAAACAGTCAACATGACTGAGCGATCCAGCCCTAGAAAAACAAAACAGTAAATTGGTTCTGAAAGCTTTTCAGCCACCTTTCTTGGACAAAGTAACACTGCCACTAGAAAGATAATTTCCGTGATGCCAATCAGAATCCTAAACTACTCACCATGTTGGCCCAAGAGATTTGGGGTGTGATTTGGAAATCCCTCCAAAACTCCACAGGTTACCTGACCTCCCACATGCTGGATTATAAAAGATGGAGTAGCAGTGTGTCTACTTTAGAATTTGAGTGCCAAAAATCTGGGATATTGTTTCCATTTTAATGCATTATAACTACCCAACATTCTTTGATGCGAAAGGCCCCAGAAGACAGAAAATACCCTAAAGTCTTCACATAAATTCAGGACATCCTCTGAGGCTTTTGAACACGGCACAGTATATGAGAACTTAGCTTCCTCTTTCAAATCTTCCCCATCCTGTAGTGCCTCATGGGTGTTCATAGAAATCAGACACACCCTTTAAGTGCAGTGTTTTTACAGTCATGTTTCCAGAGTCGTATTCAACACTGACTTCAGCAGGAAGGTCAGTGAATTTTTCTCCCATCCCTCGTCCCTTTCTCTCCTCCCACCCAGCATTGCTGGGAAGGGAAGTGACGCCGTCAATCCTGGGGGGTTTGGGACTGCAGTGAGTGCTTGTGGGCAGGCACAGGTTTGGACCCGATGACTCAGGAGGTCCTTGCTCACCCTGAGATTCTAGACTCACTGAAACTCTGGAGATAGCTGCGAGGCTATTACTCCTACTCCACACACTCCCCACCTTCCAAGGCATGTGATTAGGGAATGCCACCGCATGACCCCTCCACCCTGGGCTGGTTAGCCCAGGGGAATGTCCTCTGGCCCGAGGCAGCCCCAAGGCTCTTCAGTGGTTGGCTGCCCTGACTCTGGCTCAGAAAGCCACACTGGATCGATGGAATTCTTCACTTGACATTGGAAATTAGAGGGGCAGTGAGCCATGGGGACAGAAATTGAAAGAATGTGTCCAGTGTTGTGATGAGGCCAAGGCAGAAGCCTTCCAGAAGGCCAGCGAGGAGGAAGCAGGACCAGTTTAGAAAGGGAGAGGGTGCTGTCGAGAGGATGATGGGGCAGAACCACGGGGAGGAGAGGTCCCACTGTGAGAGCCGTGGGGTACTTTGGCGGTGGGGGTGGGGGGGTGCAGGTTGGAAGGCAGACAGGCAGAAACCACCCATGCAGCCTGGAGGCAAAGAGAAAGTAGCTGCTAGAGCTCAGCTAGAGCCGAAACCTTTCTTTGTGTGTATGTGTGCTTGAGTGTGTGCAGTTTTAAATTGTGTTTATTTATTTATTGGTTGTGCTGGGTCTTTGTTGCTGTGTGTGGGCATTTCTCTGGTTGCGGCAAACGGGCTGCTCTGGTTGTGGTGCATGGACTTCTCATTGTAGTGGCTTCTTGTATTGCAGAGCGCGGGCTGTAGGTACAAAGATTCAGTAGTTGCGGCTCTCGGGCTTTAGAGTACAGGCTCAGTAGTTGTGGAACATGGGCTTAATTGGCCCTCGGCAAGTGGAATCTTCTTTGACCAGGGATCGAACCTGTGTCCCCAGCATTGGCAGGCAGATTCTTACCTACTGGACCACCAAGGAAGTCCTGGAAGCTTTCTTTTTCTGGATCATACATCTCAATCTCATTGTGTTTCCTTGTAGTATTCTGGGTTGTTTCTGTTCCTTATTGTTATGTGAAGGATATCTTCTAAGATGTCTTCCCTACCTTCCAATGCCTGCCAAGAAATACAGTCTGTTAAAAATACAGGCAAAGGAAGAGTGGGCTAACTCTTCAGCTCTTCCCTGATTCATGGTGGAGTTACCCTTTGGTCTTCTGATGCTATAATACATAGTGGAGAGGTGACTGGGAGAGAGAGGACCTGCTGTCTTGAGTCCAGAATCCCAAAGACACCCACTTAGAAAGCATCATTACTCAAGACCCTTAGCATCAAATAAGATTGCAAAAGCCTGATCCCAAGTACAAACCTCTTTCTTAGCCCAAGAACCCACAGTTTTAGATGATCCTCATCTACCTATGGGGCAGTCTGGTCATTGTCGTCAGCTGATACTTGTGCCTAGAAAGAGAAAAGTCTGTCCTGTATGTCTTAATTCAGAGTCCTTCAGCTTCCCGTTACCTTAAGTCATCAGGGAGTAAAAAATAAGGTAGTTTCCTAAAAGTAAGAGATTTTGAAAATTGTAGCAATTAAGTCATTGGAACTTGCTTAACTCAATTTTTCAGTTTCATGTTTCTTAAAAATTCATCCTGAGCACAACTGCATCTATTGATCTACATCAATTTTTATATTGATGGCAGGTCAACATGTTACATACCATGATATTCGTATTACTTCTTGATACACATTTGCTACTGAAGTAAATGTCTTGAAGAACTGGCTTTGAGCCCCTCCGAGAAATAGCCTCTAAACAGCAAGCTGGAGTTCAGACGGAAGCCTGCAGTTCACCAGTGTGGGAAGTAGTTAACCTCTTCAAGCCTTAGGTGCGTAACCCAGGAGATGGGAGCAGTAACAACTGCGGTGTAGGGCAGGCTTCTCAGCCTTCAGAGTGCAAGGGAATGACACGAGGTCTTGTAGAAGATGCTCGCTCTGATTCAGACCTTCTGGGGCAGGGCCAAGATCCTGCATTTCACGCAAGCACCCAGCTGATACATAGGTGAGGTTGATCAAAGCACAAGGCCTTGGGATGTTTGGGGTTGTGAAGAGTGCTGGCCTTGAGTAGCTGGCCAATCAGTGAATAAATAATTCCTTTTTCCTCTTTACTTTGGCCTTTCTGCTCCTCCTGTCAGGCTGCCAGCTCTCATGTTACTTTTTACCCATGCTAGTTACTCATTCCACTACCCCCCAAGGCTTACCCCCCAGTAAGCACATTTGCAAAGTGTTGCTCCTGCCAGTCTCTGGCGCCTGACCCCTTCAAGTGGGGTAAGCCCATGGTCAACAGTGGACTCTCGGAGGAGGCAGAAAGCCCAGTACCTGCCTAGTCATCTGTCACCCTG